CCATTTCAAATCGTTTGACTATTGCGACTTCTTCGGCTTGCCAGGCAAAGAAAAAGGAGTTTTTTGTGGCGCATCGTGACTGGCGATGAAAAATAGATTTATTTTGATAATTCCAAGCGGAAAAAATCATGGGTGGACCCCGGTCAACCATCCGCTTCAACGTCGAAAAGGAATATTCACGGGCATAAGACCTTGCAGTGCGTTTGGTGGGACCAGGAAGGTGTGCTGTATTACGAACTCTTGGGTCCAAATGAAATCGTTACAGCTGATCGCTACAAATAGCAATTATACCGATTGAGTGACGAATTGATGCAAAAAAGATCATCCGTAACAATTGACAGTCATTTTGTTGCATGATAACGCTCGACCGCATGTCGCGAAAAGCGTGAAGCAAACACTTCGAGAGCTTGAATGGGAAGTTCTGCCGCACCCAGCGTACTCTCCAGACTTGGCACCGTCGGATTACCATCTCTTCCGATCGATGCAACACGCACTCACGGACACACACTTCTCCAGTTACAACTTACAAGTAACATTATGGAACTGCCATACGCCGATTTTTCTGAAACTGTGCATACAAGTAGTTCTTCAAACACTATTTGACAGGCAATTTTTCGTTTTTCCTCAAAAACGAATTTTAGAGTGGAAATCACCCCTACCATTTTTTAGGGGTGGACAGAGGTATTTTACAGACCGTTTGTAGGATTTCTATGAAATTTGGTATCTGAGAGTTTTTGAGGTCGCTGATTACGAATTTGAAATCAGTTTTTAAAAATTCAAAATGGCGGATCCAATATGGCGGTCGGATTTTAAATTATTTTAAGGATTTCTATCAAAAATGGTATCTAGGGTTTTCGTGGTCGCTGATTACGAATCTGAAGTCTATTTTTGAAAATTCAAAATGGCGGATACAATATTGCGGTCGGGTATTTTATTTTTTATCAGATTTCTAAAAAACATGGTGTATATGGATTTTTGGGCTCTGTGATTACGAATCTGAAGTCAATTTTTAAAAACTAAAAATGTCGGATCTAATAAATCGGAGAAAATTTTATATATTACTAGATTTTTGCGTAACTTGGAATTTCCGATCTTCTTCAGTCGTTAATTAAGAATCAGAAATTATTTTTGACACTACTTTTAGCATTACCCAGGAACAACGACGTGGACGTAGTAGCTTTTTGTTCCCATTGGGGTGATTTATTAAAAGTGAGTCCTCTTGCCTCTCACAATATCGGGAGGTTTTTGATGTGAGTCCCCTTGCCTCTCACATGTCTTTATCCTTTATGAAATTTGTGCAATAATGTGGTGGGTTAGCATCTGTAATTGCAAAAAAGTGTTGCATGCACATTGATGCTGTACACCACGCACATCTAACTATTCCTACATCATTGCAAAATGAACAGTTACTGTCGCATTCTCTTAAGCAAAAATGTGCAGGAGTTTCACATTTTTCCGGTTTATCTGTAATATAACCACTTTTCCACCATGCATATTTGAATAAATTTCTAAACCTTGGAGAGGAAAATTGGTTATGAATTAAGGACTGTGTAATTTGAGAATATTGTTCCTTAAGTGTCACATCAAAATTATACAGAATGACTATATCTGAAAATATTCTCAAAAAATTCTTCATGGTCTAAAAGCGTAGACGTCTAGCGATTGAATTAGACCAGTAGTACCAGGAGGAATTGTAATAATGTTGACATTTCTGTTCCCCGTGTCTATGTTGTCAAATTTGCTTTTAGTCTGTCCAGTCCAAGAATCTAATAAGAGAACCGAGTTTTCACCAGCAATCGGTAAAAAAACTTCAGCAAACCATTTTGCGGCGATATCTGATGTTAGTTTTCCTGATTTTGATGCTAAGGCAACGATGTTATTTGCCTTATACAATGTCTTCTCAACAACTGGATCAAATTTTCCATTTGACTCTTGCAGGACTATTAGTAAAGGAGACTTTAACTCTCCACTTGCAGAAATAATAGGTTGAATAGTGTAGCTATGAGTCAGAGAATTTAAGGATTGCGCCAAACATTCAACTTTCAGAGAACCTTTGAGAACAAGAGTTCTACCTGCATGTGTTTCTAAATTGAATCCAGATTGATCAGAATTGAAGATATTGTTTTCTCCAACTACTGAAATCTGCGATTTCACTTTAGAAACAAATTCAGTAGATTCTTCCTTCTAATAGTTCTTCCTTATTCGATATATGTTTTTGAGTCACAAATTTATTTATTTTTCTAGACACAATTCCGTGTTTGATTTTAAAATTGTGTACCCACAATGTTGACGCAGTAAAAAGTTTGCGTGATAAATCCACTTTTTCCCTAGCTTGCAAAGCCCATCTTTTTAAATCACGGTCATGAACGGGAAGCGATTTGTCAGTGGTATTTTGAAATTGACCCGAGACATAAGTAGAAATTTGTAACAATTTGTTAATTCTTGTTCCACCAGTCTTAATTTGTTCCTCCCATCTATATAAAGTTTTGAGATCAGTAACTTTATTAAATTTGTGCTTGACTGTGTTAAAGGATAAGTTTTTCTTTTTTCCAGAACGCCAATACTCAACAGCATTCTTTTTATATTCGATGTCTACATCCACTTTAATCCTTTTGCAACCATTTTCAAACACTTCAGAATCACTTTCTTAATTCTCGTCAATAAACATTGCTTCAGGATTGACACTATTGTCATTGAAACTTAAGCTATCAAAGCTCTCAAAAAACATTTGCGTATCAATAGATTCTTTGATTAAAGTTTCTAAATAAGCTGCAAATGATTTTTCCTCATCTGTTATTACTGATACTACTTCGTATTCAGGACGGTCAAAACATTTTTGTAATAAAAGAATAATGTTTTTAGGATTCATCGACATTTTCTTAATGAAGGTTAATTGTCTTTCAATATCTTGTAATCAAATTTTTTACCTACCCTTGACAACTGAAAAGAAAATGACTTGAAAAAGAAACTAATTCGAGTTCTGAAAAGTACTCGAAATGAAAAACTCTGAAACGAATTAGAGAAGAAATGAGTTAAAGTATGAAAAAACTCAAGCAAAAGAATGCAATGTTTTTTACAAATCACATACATATACAGGGTGTTTGAAAATTACGGGGAAATAAGTTACGAGCAGGTAGAACGGACCGAATTGAACAGAAAATTCTGATACACAAATTCTGATATACAACCTACCATCCCCACCGATCGCACGGCGCGCGGGCCGCTGGGAGTGGGGATGGCCTTACGCGTCGTGACTGGAACGGCACGCCTAGCACCATCGAAATGGTAAAGGATATTATACACTCTTCAATGAATGAAATGTCATGTAATATTCATATTGATACTACGTTAGAATTTGAAAATTATTGGGAATCAAACTTACTCGATGCAAATTTTGTCGACGAATATGAAATAGAAATACTTGAAGAAGATGAAGACAATGATCAAGCAGAAGATAGTTGTATTTCAGAAGAACGTGAAATTGTTAATGATGGCTATAAGAGAAGCGCTGTTGAATTTTGGAAAAGTGCAAAAAAGGGACGGTATTCCTTATCATCGGTAAAAAATCGTTTTAAAAAGGTGAAGTCTTTGCCGCAACTATATCGATGGGAACATTACATACAAAAAGGAGGTACCCATAGAAAAAAGATGTTATATATTTCCGAATATGTCTTATAAAATTTTAAAGAAGCTGATGACGAAAAAAGAATTATTCATGATATGGACTGACAACGATGGGCCCTAGAAGCCAAGGCACAAATCGATCTTTCTTTATTTAAAGCTAGTGCAACATGGATATTAAATTTTAAAAGAAAGTATAGAATCCTGTCATGAAAAATAACAAAATTTGTAAGTCATTCTGCGCAAAGAGATAAAGAGCAATTACAAATTGCATGTTAGAAATTCATAGCTACCGTAAAGTCTAATATAAATCTTTTTGAAATAAAAAATATATATAATGCAGACGAAAGTGGATTCAATTTAGAATTACATTCAGGCAGAACACTGACCACGCAAGGTGATAAAACAGTTGAAAGTATAGTTCAATCACTATCGGCAACTACGCATAGTTACACAATTATGCCCATAATTTCTGCAAGCGGACAATTGAAGTCGCTTCTCTATTTGGTACTGAAAGAAGCTAGTGGAATATTCGGACCACGCGTAGGGGAAAGTTTGTTTAGATCTGCAAATGGTTACATTGCAGCATCAAAAGCGGGCAAATTAACTACTGTCACGTCCCGCGAAAAATGCATTACAATTTTTTTTCCTTTATATATAAAAAACTCACTGTAACACTCTATATCACAACGCGACCACTTAACCTTTTCTTAGGTGCGTATTTAAACTCATCTTTTTCTTGGCGCGTACTTAAACTCATTAGCATATGCTCATGCATAGCAGCTCTTCGAGCTGCAATCTCATTGACCATTACGATTACAAACTTGATCAATCTTCGCAACCCCTCTAGACCTAACGGAATGTGATCACTAACCTCTATATAACTTATCCCCATAATCATAATTCCAATCCTAACCCATAAGCAATTTCGACCAATCAGGAAAATATTGTGAACCCAATTACTAAACATTTCCACCAATCGCAACTCAGTATTTCTCTTACGGCTAGTATGATTGTCGCGACCCCCCCTGGACACCTATAATGAAACTCACGTTAAAACCTACAAAATTGATTATAACTATGTATAAGAACACCTGTAGTGAGCCCCTCTTCCATAACAACAATAACCATCGCGAACTCTAACTAAGGCGCTATAGATGGGAGTATTCCTATCCGCCATTTTTGTGCCAAATCAGAGCCACTACAGCGAGTGTTACAATGCTGATCGAAAGTCGAACAAACAAGTCGCCGTATTTAATCCACAAAGTATGTATTTTTCCAGTTAAAAAAAACATTCACACAAACACGAAAATAATTAATTTCTGTGTCAAAATAGAAATTTGTTCTTTTTATCTGCAAATATTTATGTCTCGGAAAGATAATCCTCAAGATGTTATTTTCTTGTTGCAGAAACAAATCGTATAAGGGCATAGTATTCGCATTTAAAAAATGCCTGGCTGTGCCGCAGTTAATTGCAGTAATCGGGTTGACAAGGGCTATAGGCTCTTCTCGTTCCCGGAGGATAAACGTGGGACAAAATGGGTTCACAATATGCGACGAGATAAGTGGACACCGACCACCTTTTCGCGATTGTGTGAGGTAAGTATCTCTCTCAGAGTAAGGATATAATTTTTTTATCATATCACACAATGGCCTAATACTCAACGCTAATAATATTTTTTTGTTTGTTTCAAGGTACATTTTGAAGATTCCCAATTCGAAGCCCATCCCGCATTGATGGCTGGAGAAAACTTAAACCGAATGCAGTCCCAACGCTTTTCGATGTGCCCACCCCCCCGCCACGAATCAACCCACCTAGACGAAAATCACTGTACAAGGTTACTTTCGACAAAAATTAAACACATTTTTTTAACCTATTACTGTCAAGATTAATATTTTTCGCTCCTTTCAGAATCGTGATAAAAACGCAATGCCTGCTCAAGTAGCAATAGTCGGTTGTTTTGACCGATCGGTGCTTCACGAATTGGTAATTTTTCAAACTGCAATACTATATATTAATGAAAGAAGATTGAATTGCACGATCCAGAATCTTAATCGTCTGAGTTTTTCTATTGCAGAATTCGGTTAACCAAGAGAAAGCTACTGAGGAGTGTGACGAGCCATTTGAAATAATGCAACAGCCGGAACGAGTCTTCGATCTGCACGCACCCGTAACAGATGCAACGGAAACACGAGAATCTGAGGTAAATGGAAAATCTTTTTCTTTTTCTGGTAGTGATGAAAAACAAAACGAAACACCGTAAAACGTCATTACAGATTTTAGTTTTTTTTACATACATTTTTGCTTTGTTTTTGTTTGTACTGCTAAAATAATTGTCAGCTCTCTAAACACAATGTTTGTTTCTGTTGCTATATTACAGGCGGAGGAGTTCGCTCGTGTTACGTTCGAACTGGCGTGTTTGTGGCGATTGTTGTGGTTCGAGACGCGGCATAAATCTCGTGGAACGCGGGCGCGGAGCGGGGCGCGCGGGGCGAAGCCTTAGCTTCTACAGAAATGATATTATCGTAACGGTATTGGGGCAGGCTGCTGTCACCAGTGCCTTTTGCATCGGCACGAAATCTTAATATTATTCTGTGTCTCGCGGGGAGGCTTTTATCTTGTATTAACTCCTTCGAGGTCCTTCAGAGAGAGTTTTAAATTGGAGAATTAGAGAAGTTTTCAGATATTATTAGCGCCCCAGCGTGCTGTAAGCACTTGTAACACGGAGATTATAATCTCTCAAGAGGGCAGCTGAATGTATGTCATCATACACTCGCTCTATCTACGTTCTCTGATTCTGAGAAGGATCTGGAAGGGAAAAATGCGAGATATGACTTTATGAATCTATTATCTTTATGTTATAATTACGCGACTTTGTTATTTTGATGTAACGTAATAAGGCAAAAAAAAAGGGGGGGGGGAGGTTGTGGAGGCCTCGACGCCGATGAAGGCGCTATAAAAAAAAGGGGGGAGAGGTTGTAGAGGCCTCGACGCCGATGAAGGTGCTCCTTGAGCTCCACGGGGAAGGTGTGCCTCGTCGACGCGCTTGGGTAAGCCGCGTTTGGAGTCACGGATTAGGATGGCCTTAACGACCCCCTGGGGAGGCGCACGGTTAAGGCCGGAATTTTGAGGTTACATTTTGAGGGAAGTCGCTTGCGCTCAATCTAAGCGCGGTATTCCTACCTTAGCTTTAGCTTGGACGGGAAAGAATAGGACCGAGTCTGTGTACGCGCTCGTTTATATATAGTTAATATCGCGGCCCCTCGCGGTAAGGGGATGTTCACGTCCTCGTGTTATTGCGATCTCTATTGTGTGCCGATTATGTTATTAGCGATTTATTCTAATGACGATTAGATTTTAGTTAGTTTGTGCCTTCGATTTCGCTGCGGGGGTCGCAAGGTTCGTACTGGCGCGCTCAGTCGTTGCGTACTGCAGCCCGTTGCGGCAGAACTTGCATCTGTTCTTTGTGTGTTTTTTCATCATGAACTTTCGTATGGTTCTGGATCTTTTCGTGCTTTGTGCTTGTGGAATTCGAGTGTTTATTTAAGGCTTTTTCTAAGTTACCTGCGCTTTGATTTTATTCGCGATGATTTCCCTCGCATTCTTTTGTGACCGGTGGGTGCATTCGTGGTTACGCGGCGATGAATCGCATTGATGTTATGCATTTTTATTAATTTTCCGTGGGTCTGCGGGTTTTCCCTGCAGCTGTGTCAAGGTCGGTTGTTATCTTTAATTATTCCTTATCTCTTAGTATCGATGGTTTGTTGATAAACTGCATTCTTGCATTGGTTTTAGTATTTATACTTTGGCGCAGGCGCGGTATGCGCGGCGTTCGAACGCGACGGTTTCGGTGGCTTGGCCTATAGCTGAACGCGCTTATAGTCGGCACATATTATATTGGTCCGCTATATTCCGTGGTCGCGCTCGCTTGGTAAACGAACGGGGCGCTACATTGTAGGCGCACCGGACGTTACACTCGAGTAACACAAAATTTGCAGGAACAGGTCACTTCTTTAACCCTTCCACCATACACGGGGTCCCAGGGACCCCAGTCCCGGTTCGCGCTTCGATTTGACCACCTTAATATTTGAAACGGGACTTGTGGCGCCCTCTATCGGTTATTCGACACTACTAGAAGCAGATCACGCGGGGAGCATCCCCGTTTGTTGCTTATGAGGTGAGAAGCAGAGGCAAATAAAAAACTTATGATTTTTTAAGTAGAAAAGGTCATTTTTTCCATTTTTTCTTTCACATTTCCTATTTTTTTTAACAATGTTAAAAATTTTTTTAATTTTTTTCGACTATTCTACCTTTTTATTTATACATTCAAGAACATCCATGAATTTTGCCAATTTAAAATAGTCAAAATTGCTGCCGCAATCGCCGCTCTAGCCATTGGGGTCCAGTAGACCCCATGTGTGGTGGATGATTGAAATAGGAGGTGTGTGGTGAAAGGGTTAAGCAATAAAAATTGCGACTTGGAGCTACGATCAAATGCAGCACAAGAGAACTTTCAACGTTTACAACAGCAAACCAACTTATACGAATCAGTGGCTGCGGAAAATAGAGCATTGCGGGAGCAGATACACGAAATGGAGAGAATACGTAAATCATTTTTGTCTGACGGTCAAGTGCAAATGCTGCAAAAACGTCGTATGTCCGCCTGGCCAAATGAAGCTATTGTTAAGGGTTTAAAATTTAGATTTGCTCTTTCCAATCACGGTTATCAATACATTCGTAATACGGGCTATCCTTTACCTTCGTATTCTACGATTATGCGTAGAATTCAAGATTACAAAATTGATTTTGGAATTTTCGACGATGTTATCCAACTGCTAAAATTCAAAATCGAAGCAATGGATCCAACAGATAAATATTGCATTTTATCATACGATGAAATGCAAATTAGTAAACAATACGATTATGATAAAAATGTTGGAAAATTCGTTGGTCATGAAACTTTGGATAATTACAGTGATAACCTCGGAGAAAAACTATTTGTTGTAATAGTACGAGGGATAAAAAATCACTGGAAACAAGTTGTTGCGTGTCACATAATGCGGTCGATAACCATTGACTTTCAACTTTTGAAAAATTTTATGCTGAGTTGTGTAACATCAGTTGAGTCGTGCGGTTTGTATGTCGTGGCACTATCTTCAGACTTAGACAATAGGAACAGAGCCTTATGGACATCGTTAAATCTCCATGCATCGAGATTCGAAATTAAAAATCAATTTATATATAATAATCATCCAGTGTATGCTATTCCAGATACGTGTCATATTTTAAAAAATCTAAAATCATATATGTTAAGACAACGTATTTATTTACCCGAAGCATACGTGGAGTTGGAAAAGCTTCCTACAAACCTAGTTAATGGAGCTTACATTAAACAGTTGTGGCAATATGAAATTTCTAATGGCATGGAAAAGCGGCTATTACACCATCTTCGAGCGGAGGACATCGAGCCTACGACATTCGATAAAATGAACGTTGGCGCAGCCGTTAGATTTTTCTCCGCGAAAAC